CCTATCTCTCTCTCTCGTGTGTGCATGTGAGTGTATGTGTCCTATAGCAAACTGAAAAATAATGATAATGAAAAAATGTTTTAAATTTAAGTATGAAGACTGGAGTCATGCTATAGATTTGGAAGTCAACATACAAGGGATATTAAAGCCATGTCTCCTCATCCATTGTGAGCAGACAAAGAGAAAAGCAGTGCTTCAAGCAAACAGAAATCAAGATTAATGATTTGGAGGCAAAAGAGGAGGAACCAATGAAGGAAAATAATAAAATCAGTTGGCATGTAGGCACATGTGATTAGAATTAGTATAAATAATGTCAGGAAAGCCAAGAGCAGAAAGAATAGTTTTGAGAGGTGTCTACCCAGCCATCAGAAGTAGGAGACGCAGTAAGAGGAAGACAGAAAGGCTCCACTGACTTTGGCAATTTTAACGCATTGTTTTGTTTCAGGAAAGATAATTTCAGTCTTGAGGTGAAGGGGTGGAGAATAGGCAGAAGCCAGATTGTAGTGGGTTGAGCAGTAGGAGGGAGATTTCATCCTCTGAGACAGCAGAGCAGGAAGTAAAGATGAGTGCAGATGTTTTACGGCAATGGAAATATGCAAATGTGGGCACACAGAAATAATACAACAGCAGGGACCAACGCTCAAGTGAAATAATTACAAGGAAGAACAATGCTTATGAGATTTCCTAAAATACCTTCTTATCAGAATAGCTATTGATGTCCAGGAAATGGCTGACATACCAACCATTAAATGCAGTTACAAGTAAACATTAATTTACTTTCTACAATTGTCAGTACAGAGTGGTGCAGTGGGTGGTCTCCCAAGAATTTGAATATTGGATAAAGGAGATTGTCCCCCAAGAGTTCAACTATGTACTTACATATATAATCCATGTATAAGCAAAGCCACTTGAAGGAATTCCTGTCAGGTCAAGTCAGCAAGATTTGACTTGCATTATTGAATATATTAAATAGCTAATGAATGAATGCATTCATAGAAAGGGAAGGAGGTTTTGATTGGTCATGGAAGTAGAATAAAAAGGGAATCACTCAGGCAAGCCCACCCAAGCACAGGAATGAGTATGTTTGTCCTGCTGGCAAGGCTATTCCTGTTGTGAGAATTGGATTAGTAAAGGTTCTCCAGAGAAACAGAACCAACATGGTGTGTATGTGTGTGTGTGTGTGTGTGTGTGTGTGTGTGTGTAAAATGGATAGATAGATTTTAAGGAACTGGTTCACACAATTGTGGGGGCTGACCTGTCCAAATCTGTGGGGAAAGCAAATAGAATTGAGACCCAGGGAAGAATTGCAGTCCATTAGCAGTCTGCACGCAGAATTTTCTTTTATTCAGGGACCTCAGTCTTTTTTCTCTTAATGCCTACAACTGATTCAATGAGTCTTTCCTACGTTATGGAGGGTAATCTAGTTTACTCAAAGTCTATTGACTTATATATTAATTTCATCTTTCAAACTTTTTCCCAGCAGGCCAGCAGGTGGCATGGATGTTAAGACAGCAGGATCCCATATAATTGACTTCATGGTTCAAGTCCTGAACGTGGTGACATAGAAATCATGTGGACACATGTATACATGCCCAAAATCCCAAGGAGAGAATGAAAGAGAAAGGATTGTGGTGTGGCCATCCCCCCAGGGGGTGACTTCTCATTTTCCCTTTCTCTTGTTCTCTCTCTCTGTCTTGGTCTTTGGTGAGCACACACACCCTACAGCAAAAAGTGAAAATAAAAATAATAATTCACTGAAACAGTCTCAACAGTGTTTGACCAAATATCTAGGTATGAAGGTATAACCAAGTCAACACATCAAATTAATCATCATTAGAGCCAATAGAGAAAATATATGCATGGAGATTATTATAATTCAAGCTATAGATACAGATAGTCTGCTCTGAATGCCATAACAAAATACCATGGCTTTAATAATGGAATTTATTTTCTCCTAGTTCTGGATACTAGTAAGTCCAAGAACAAGATGCCAGCCAATTTGCCTTTTGAGATTCTCTGGTTGCAAACAACCATCTTCTTTCTGTATCCTCACAAGGAAGAGAAAAAGAGATATCTTGGGACCAACAGTTGGCGTAATGGCTATGTCGCTGGACTCCCATGTAGTTGATTGTGGTTCGAGTCCCTGACGCAGTGGCTTAAATTCATGCCAGGTGCATGTGCGTACGTGCCCAAGATCCTGAGAGAAGAATGGAGGAGAAGGGATTGTGGCATGGCCATTTTCCCTGGGGGGTGATTTCTTGGTTTCTGTATCTCTGTCTCCCTCTATTTTCTGGGGAGTGCATGTGCCCTATAGCAAAAACCTCTCCAAAAAAAAAGAGAGAGAGAGAGATTTCTTCTCTTCTTATAAAGACACCGGTTCTATCAGATTAGTGTCCCAACCTTATGCCCTCATTTAACTTTGCCTCCTAAAAATGCTACCTACAAATACAATAACATTGGTGGTTAGGGTTTCAATATATGGATTTGGGGAAACACAATTTGACAGAGTACTATGATATTAAGAGAAAACAGTGATGACTGCTAATTGATCAGTGATATATGAGTCTTGAAGCAGGAAGAAGGACAATAAAAGTTACAAGGTATAGGAAAGAATTTGCTACTGTTCTTGAAGGTTTACATTTGCATCTGTTTTGTCTTCCCAATTAGGTCACCACATTCTTTCAGTTCAAAGACCCATAGTAAGATTGAAATGAAAAAACTCTCAGTATTACTTCTCTAAAAAGGGATTATAACTAAGCACCAACAGTTTTACCAGCTAATAAATAGAATGCACCTTTCCCCATAACTTCATGGAAATTTTTATTAATACAGTCCACATGAATAATATATTTGTGATTTTTCACAAAATTAAAGTTAGGCAGAGCTCATATCATATTACTATTACTATTACTATTACTATTACTATTACTATTACTATTCAAGGGTGAGATTATAAGGTCCTGGAAAGAAATAGCAAGAGATTCAGTTAAGGTTTCATTACCAGGACCAGCAGATGGCATAAGGGTTACATTGCTGGATTCCCACATAATCACCTGTGGTTCAAGCCCTACACCCGGTAGCTTAAAACTCACGCCAGGCATATGTGTGTGCATGCCCAAGATCCCAAGAGGAGAATGGAGGAGAAGGGATTATGGTGAGGCCATTCCCCCCAGAGGGTGATTTCTTTCTTTCCATCTCTGTCTCTCCAGTGAACACATGCTCCCTATGGCAAAAATCTCTCTTTTTAAAAAAAACATTACATTATCTGTAAAAATTGAAGACCCTGAGCTAAAGTAGAAAATGACCATTTTTATTTAACTGCCAAATGTTTGTTGAGGATTTCCTGAGTGCTAGATCTTTTTCTGGCCAGTAGAGAAACAGAAACAAATAAGAAGACATGACCCTTAATGTCAAGGATCGGACACCCTGCTGCAGGGGTGTAATAAAACTACAGCCCTTGGGACAAATCCATTCCACTGCCAGTTTTTGTCAATAAAGTTTTATCGTAACACAGCCATACTTAATCATATTGTCAATGACTGCTTTTCAGCTACAGCAGAAAAAGATTGTCGCAACAGAGACCACACTGTCTACAAAGCCTGAAATATTTACCATCTGATGCTTTTCAGAAAAAAAGCATGCTAAGTCCGGGATTAGTGACTTTCTGTTTTCAGGCTTATTTCATGAGAATTGTGTTATTTTATTTTTTTGAGAATTATTTAATTTTATGTATTATTATTTTTAAGTTTACTACAGGATGTGTGTGCTCACCAGAGATAGAAAGAGAAAGAGAAGGAAAGTGAGAAAGCAATCTGCCAGGTTCAGGACTTGAACCATGGTCAGCCATGTGGAAGTCTAGCACCTTAACCACCATGCCATCCACTGGTTTCCTTATGCATTCTTTTCATTTACTTTATTGAAATATTAATGCTATTAAGTATTAGTGATCTATTTTAACTTTATCAAAAATAACAAATGTACAGAAAAGTTATAAGAATAGTCAAAGATCCCATATACTTTTCACTCAGATATATAAATTATTAATATTTTGCCACATTTGCTTTCTCTATGTGTGTGTGTTTATATACACAATACTATTTTTTTCCAAACCATAGGGAAAAAAGTTGCAGACATCATGTTCCTTCAATACTGAATATTTTAGTGTACACTCTATTTTCTAACAAGAGAATCTACTTACATAATTACACTAAAATGATCGAAATCTGGAAAGTTAACCTTGAACAATATTATTATCTAATCTATGTAACTTTATATAAATTTTACCAATTATGCCAGTAATGTCTTATCACAAAAAAACAAAACAAACAAACAAACAAAAACTGGTATGGGATCCCATGTGGGTCACATTTTGCATTTAGTTGTTTTTCTTTTTTTTTAGAAGTATTTATTTTATTTATTTATTTATTTTTAATTTGACCAGAGGAAACAGAGAGAGAAAGAGAAGGGGAGAAAGCAAACTGCTAAGTCCAGGATTCAGACCCAGATCAGCCATGTGGGAGTCCAGCTCTTTAACCGCCATGCCACTTGCTGGCTTTTAGTTTTTATATCTCTTTTGTCACATTTAATCTGGAACAATCCTTAGTCTTTCATAATATTTATATTTTTGAAAAGTACAGGCCAGTCACTTTACATCATGTCCCTCCTTTAGCTTTCCCCATGATTTGATTCAGGTCGTGCATTTGGGGGCAGGAATATTATTTAAGTGTTGTATTCTTCTTAATATTGCTCCTCAGTAGGCACTTGATATCTATTTGTCCCGCTATTAGAGATGTTAAATTTGATCAGTCAACTAATGTGGTGTCTTCTAGGCTTCTCCACTTTCATAAGTTTTCCTTTTGTGACTAATTGGTAATTTGTGATGAGATACTTCCAGGCTATGTGTATAAATATCTTGTTCTTTATCAATGAGATAGTTTCAGCATCTAATTGATGCCTGAACAGACTGTCACCTAATAATAGATTTGTTTGACTTTCCATAGCAAAGGAATGACTCAGAAGCAAGAATCGGGGACTCCTTGGACCCTTGGCATATTCTCTGTTATACCAGGTCTGTGAAAAACAGCTGAGCTGAGAATATCAAGAACCCTCCAGAAGAAAAATGAGGATTATGTTGGGAGATTTTTAACGAAGCAAACATTTTAAATTCAGAAGAATCTGCTGCTATCAATGGCTACATGGCTGTTAGTGGAAAGTGGCCCACATATTGACATTCTAAACTACTATGTCATTATTTGACTAGTTGGTCAATATTTGATCAACTATTTGAACTACTGGTCAAATCATTGAACTCTTCCAGAAAGGAGAACGCACATATCCCATTAGCTGATGAATGTTTTGCAGGCAAATCAGAGAGAATAGAAGAAATAGTAGGATTTAGTGTTCAGCTTAATGTGCTTTGAAACTTAATGATCAAAAAGGAAAAACAAAGTGACCACAGGTCTAGGGCCAGTATGAGGCTGATACAGGTTGAGAAGGGGCTTATCTGTGATTTGTGCTCAGAGAAAAAAGGAGGTTGTTTGCAGGAACTAGGGTTCCTAATGGTTCTAACCACACTGAGAAGCAGAATCCATCTCAGGCCGCCAGAACCTGGTTTTGCAAATAGTGGTGGATATTCTTTGTCCTTTCCCTCCATAAGCTGGGTAGGAGGGTTTCTTCAAATCATGTGCAACAGAGCACAGTGCTAGAAAACGAAGGGATGAATGACACAAACAAGAATGGAGGAGACTTCAGGAATAATTTAGCACTCAAGAGTTTTAAAGAATTTTTGTAATCTAATTCTCCAATTCTCCTTTGCTTGTTATAAAGCTTTCTTTTTTGCTTTTTTTGGTTCGTTTGTTCATTGTTCTTTACAGTTGATCAAGCTCTAAGAGTTGGAGTTTGGGGGGAAAGAAAAGGGTAACAGAATTCCAGATATTGACTATAGCCATTGATCCAAGAGCAGTCTCACATATATTCTGGAAAGCTGAAGGAAGCATAGATTTTTCCACATTGACTTTTTGACCACACCTATAAAGTCAATACAGAATTCGTATAAAGGAACATAATATTTAAAAACAACTCATACAATAAGAGAGAATTAGCATTTACTCAGCGTATAACCTATGACTGACTAATCTTGGAAGAATCAGGTAAATATTTTATTTACAGAAGAGACAACTAAAGTTCAAAAAGAGTGCTATGAATGTGTGCTATATTGTTATAGGGCTAAAATAAAATCCCAGATCTGACTCAAGAATCCTTTGCACAATTCTATAGGACTTAGATATTCCTTTCATACTAACAAGTATTTGTTTGAGAGCAACTGAAAAAAAGGAAGTGAATAAGGGCAAAATGATTTGGAGAGCTATTAAAAGATGCTATCTGCATATCTTTCAGATTTGAGTTTAAGTTGTAAAAATCTTTAGTACGTGGGGGAAAAACACAGCCTATCACTGCAGTAGTAACAGAATAGGGGCTATGGTATCTGCCCCCCCAAAATTCAGCAGCATCTGTAGTGTTAGGCACTGAAGAGGGAAAAAAACCATTTGAGCAAATTTCCAAATATTAAGAGCATCAAACTCACACCAGCTACACAAACACAAAAGCTAAAGATGCATTTAAAAAATTAGATTAAGAAACATGTTATGGCGATGGCATTGTAGATTATTTTACTTTCTTTAAAAAAATAAATTGAAGCCCTTTGATGCCCCGATCTTTGCTTATTGTGCAATAAATAAACACCAGGAAGAAAAATATTACAGTGCAGTGTGGTTGTGGGTTATTCTCCTAGTCTCATTTTAAAAATTAGTTTCCTGAGTCCTAGAACTGATGAAATTAAAGAGGAACTTAACTCCAGTCCTTAGAATTAATTTTCTGGACTCTTACAGTACAAGTCTTTGGGTCTATGCTGAGTCAGTAAATTCTGTCTCCCAGGCAACTTTGAGTAAATCAAAGCTGAAGGTCAGACCAAAGTTAATGCATTACATTAAAGTAAAATAGGATTGCTTTGCCTTTCAGTTTGTTCTGTTTGAGTTTGCGTATTTAAATGCCCCTATTGCCATTGTTGGTTATTCTCATATTTGAATCTCTTCTACATTCAAAGTCTAAAGAATTTTATGAAAGAAAAATTAGGTGTTAAAAATTAAACAGCTAAATAAAAGAATTAGTCCAAGTAATAAATTTTCACCTTCATTAGTAATAAGAGGCATTAAAAGCTGAATGATGAAATGACATTGCTCACCCATAAAATGAGTAGATTTAGAAATAACACCTAGTACTGGTGAGGGTGCAAAGAAATGTTTCCTGTCTCGGCTTCACATTCCTGAGCCCTACACACTCTTAACTCAGGCCCTCATGTTCTCCTGCCTGGACAACCTCAATGACTCACTTCAAACTTGTCTGCCTTATTCCAGTCTTGTAGTTCTTAAATCCCATCTCCACACTGCAGGCTGAGACACATATCTAAAATAAAATTCTAGCCATTTCACTGCTTGGGTTTCTCAGCTTCTCAGTTTTCTATGTGGAACAGTTAATGATGTCTCTGTAAAGAAATAGCTAAATGCATGGTTGCAGTTCAATTTGGTCATGGTTGGTACAGAAAATACAAATCTTACTCAGGTCAAGATGTGTTCCTCTGACAGCCACGGAAGCCAAATTAGAATTACAATCTTGCTTAATAAGCATGGAATTAGAATAAGAACCTTAGTTATACAATTCAAACAGTTAATGGAATCAGGTTAAAGAAGCTTGGAACTCTCCCTCCCCCAGGCCATTGTCAGCAGTGTGGACATTCTCTGCTCTGACAAAGCTTGAGTGGATATTAGCAACTTTTCCATTTTGGGTTTCCATTTTCTCTACTCCAAGTAGAAATTACCTTTTTGTTTACATAGTTTCTCTAAATAAAACATGATACTACTGCTGAGGGCTCTGTTTATTGAACTGTAATCACACTCCAGACCTGCCTCCTGAGATTACACTGTATTCTCAGGAATTGAGTTTTGGGTATTTCCATACTCTTCAATCTTGCCATTCTACACAGTCTCCAAATTTATTCCTACAAAGTCCCTAATGTAAGCAAATAATTGACTACCTACTCTATGCAAAGCATTATTTGATGCTCTGGGATAACCTGTGATGTAGATAGTGTTCTAGGTTTGTTTGTTTTTTAAATTTGCCAGGAAGCTCATGTGCTGGTCAAGAAGAGGTAGAAGAAAGCACCCTCCATGAGGCGTGGTCACACAGCAATCCTTTCTCCTCCACTTCTCTCACCATTCAGTATTTTGAGCACTCACCCACATGCACCTAGCATGTTTCTCAAGCTACCGGATCTAGGACTCGAATTGCTCAGTCAGCTAGTGGGATCCAGATTCCTTAACCACCAGCCCACAGGCTGGCCTTGCTCCTGGGTTAAAAAAAGAAAAAGAAAAAGCCACCAGGAGTAGCTTTCTCAAAGGGGAATCTTATTTTTTCTTTACTGTTTTATTATTATAATTATTATGCTTTTTAATCGATGTGTAACAGTTGTACAAGGCAATTTTATTTTTCTTATTGTTAAGTTCTAGGATGGCTTCTTGCTACTGACACCAAAACAGGTCGTTGGGAAGCTTATTAAAAATTTCAAGAGGTATGGCAGTACTGCAACTGTTCTCACTTATGGAAGGTACTGGTTTCGCATCCCAGGACTTCTTATGTGTTCCAGGTACAAGTACATGCCTGCGATTCAGACTGGCTGAGGTTGGGGGTAGATTGCAGTGCAAGGAACCTGTAGGGATTGTTTCTCTCTCTCTCTCTCTCTCTCTCTCTCTCTCTCTCTCTCTCTCTCTCTGGTACTCTCTCACACAATAAATAAAAACATAAAGTTTACCCAAAAAATGTCAAGTAATCACTTTGTATAATAAATAACCACTTTCCTACTATCTATCTGGTATTTGGCTTTTCTTAAAATGTAGTGCTGAGGTGGATCCTAAGTTTCATCATTTTAGATAACTTGTAAAATGAAAAGCCTTGCCCTTAATTTATGCCAAAGGGTTAAAACCAGGGGTGTAGAGTTTGAAAGTTGTCATCAAATTCTTTGCTACATTCCTATGCCCCCTCCGTCTTCCATCACCTGACAGTGCCGAACTTTTAGCTGAGCCCTTGTTCTGAGCAGGAGTTGTCAAGAAACCTGAAAAGTGGCTCACTAAAAAGCACAGCTCAGCCTGACGTGTTCCAGGGTGTCTGCATCCTTCCTTACACTTCCATATGGCTCCCTTGTTTATCGGCCTCTTTAAAACCCAGCCTCTCCCTGTCCTTTGAACATTGAGCATCCCTCATTAATAACTGTTTTCACCGTAGCAATCGCCCAAATATCATCACCTCCTTAATTGTTCAGCGCCTTTGTCTTTCACATACCGAATCATAATATTCAATGCTGCTTTAACACAAAGTCGATCAGGTTTTATGAAGATGAAATGAGTTAATACGTTCATAGCACTGGTGCCAGACACCTATTATGTGTTCAATGAATTACCTGTAATGATTACATTACCTTTAGATACATTTAATATATATATACCGTATCATGTATCTATGTTACCAGCAATAATAATTTAAAATTGATGTTAACTCCTAATCAGGGAAGCAAATTTTGATAATTCTACTCATCCATGTATTTTATTTGCAGTGCTGCCATTTGACCTAAACCAGAGAAAGAGAAGCAGGCCAAGGTCATGGGTAAGGAGTGGAGTGCAAGAGTGAGAGAAGGCAGAAAGGTATGGTCCATTTTCCTCGACTCCAATGTACTTTAAACAGGAGAACCAGCACCATCTTCGGTCTCAACATCGAAACATGCATCCTCAGTCTAAATCCCTTTCCCACTGCACAGCACCGTAGTTTTCATCTAGCGGAAACTTGTTCTCCTGCCGTACCGTCAGCCACACTAGCACATTCTTTCTGTCCCAGTATCCTCTCCGTCCTAGAAGAATGTTCACAGCTCCACTTCCGTTAGTCCATATTTCTCTCCTCCCTTCCTCTGAAAACTCTGTCTGCATTGCATTAGCCCAGGGGTACCAAGTGGTCTCTAACTACTCAGAAGGCAGTAAGAAGAGAGGGAAAAGTAGTGGCACCAGATCACTTCTGTTATACTTCATTGGCCGGAACTCTTTACTTGACAACCTTAATTTCAAGAAAGGATGGATATTGGGAACCAGCAGTTAGCGTAATGGCTATGTCGCTGGACTCCCACGTGGTCGACCGCGGTTCGTGTCCCAGACCCGGTGGCTTAAAACTCACGCCGGGCGCGTGTGCGTGCGTGCCCAAGATCCCGAGAGGAGAATGGAGGAGAAGGGATTGCAGCGTGACCATCCCCCCTGGGCGGTGATTTCTTGCTTTCTATTTCTATGTCTCTCTCTGTCTGTCTGGCGAGCGCACACACCCTACAGTGAAAATCTCTCAAAAAAAAAAAAAAAGAAAGAAAGAAAGGATGGATATTGAATTTTTAGGTTTTACAGCCACTATAATAGAATCAGGTTTAGAGGGGGGAAAAAAAAAAGGTAGGTAAGGATTGGAAGAGTGGAATGAATGGGCTTTATGGGAGCCAATATATAGTTTTTGATACATCGGGATCCCAAAATGACAATATTTAATGAGCCATCTCTGATACAGGTTCAATACCCAAGACCCACCTAACCATGCAGTGTACCTACAGCATCACATTCAACCCTGGATTTTCCCCAGTGTGTGTCTCCAGCCTCTTACTGAAGTACAGGATGATGCTGGAGGAGGACCGATGCCAATCCAATGATTAACTCTTGTTCTGATTGAAATCTGATCCTGGTTGCTGCTAAGCTTCACTTCCAGTAACATTCTTACACAATTTAATTGTGTTTATTGCAGACCTTTCTGTTAAAGGCCCATCCTTTTATTTTCCTTTTTCTTTTTTGATATGAGTACATTTGCTTTTATGAGACCTTAATGTGTGTCAAGTACTTCAAAGTACCACCCATTGCTTTTCATCATAGGAACAAAACTAATGTTAAAATTGTCTCATGTCTGGGGCCAGCAGATGGCATAGTGGTTATGTAGCTGGACATGCACATGGCCGATTGAGGTTCAAGTCCTGGACCTGGTGGCTTGAAACTCAAGTCAGATGCGTGTGTGTGCATCTCCAAGAACCCAAGAGGAGAATGGAGGAGAAGGGATTGTGGTGTGGCCATACCCCCGGTGGGTGGTTTCACACTTTCTCTCTCACTGTCCCTGCCTCTCTGTCTGTCTGTCTGTCTGTCTCTCTCAGGGACGCACACCCTAAGGCAAAAACCTCTAAAAAAAAAACACTGTGTAGTGTTATGTTATCACATTATGCAATAAGTCAAAATCCCCTTAATGCTAGTAATATCAGAAAAGACAGTAATGCAGGTTCAGGAACCCAGTCAGTGATAAAAGCGTCAAGACTAAGAAGAGGGCTATGGTGAGAACTTAATTAAACTGCAGGGCTGATCAAGATCCTAGCCATTAACTGGAAATGATGTGAAGAGGTGGGCTTGAAGCACACCCTAACAGAACTGTGCAAACGACATTATATCCTCTTTTATACCAGGTCCCTTTTGGGTGCTTCTTATCCTGCCCCCAAGAATGTCCTGTAGTTACTTTAAGGTCACAGAAATCTGAACCCACTACATGACAGCTTTATTCAACTCTTACCTCCAAGAAGTTGCTCCTAAATGTCTGTTTTTTCCTTGGCATTTCACATTCCCACATTTCTTTTTTTCTTTCTTTTTTTCTTCCTTCCTTTCTTTCTTTTTTTTTATTAATTTGCTAGAGGATGTGAACATTCACTAAAGAGAGATGGAAAGAGAGAGGGAAAGTGGGGAAGCACCCCTCTGGGGTATGATCAGCAGGTGGTAAAGATGCTGGATCCCACATGGGCTACCAAGCAATTCAAGTCCTGAACCCAGTAGTTTGAAAAACACTGGGTGTGGGACTACAAATGGCATAGTGGTTACACCACAAATTCATCTTCATTTTTCCTTTCAAGATTTTGGGCACGTCTGTACACACACCCAGTGTTTTTTTATTTGTTTGTTTGTTTTCTTAGAGAGTTATTTTTATTTATTTATTTATTTTTTGCTTTAGGGCATGTGCGCTTGCCAGAGAGAGTCAGACAGTGAGAGGGGAAGCAAGAAATCACTCTGTAGGGAGAACAGCCATACCGCAAGTCCCCTCTCCTCTCCTTCTGGGATCCTGGGCATGCACGCACATGTATCTGGTGTTAGTCTCAAGCCACTGGGTCCAGGACTCGAACCGCAGTCGACCAAGTGGGAGTCCAACAACATAACCACTATGCTGTCTGTTGGTCCCATACCCAGTGTTTTTTAAACTACGGGGTTGGGATCTAGCCATCTTCACCACCTGCATTTTTTCTACATTTCTGACTACTGCACCAAATAGTACCGCTCTGATGTTTATGATCTTCACAAGCACATTCTAGTGACATCTGGAACAAAACAGGGAAGGAGGTCACCTGCTCTGTCATCCCTAGGGGCGCAGAGGCTGGGAAGGGCTTCTTGCACGGATCACAGGAGTGAGAAAGGTGAGCATGGACTGAATCTTGGCATATTGGTTTGGACGAGCAGGAGCTGAAAATGCTGCCATTTCAAAGCTGCCAACAGTTTTTGTTTCACAAAATCATGGGAACAGATTTGGGACAAATGGCTTCTTTGTTCTGATTAAACCTCTTATTTTTTGTTATGTAAATATGCAACAAAGGCTACAATTAGGAAAAAAAGCGTTTTGTTTAGTTATCTTTAATTATATAAAAGATCGTTTACTTGGTAGATAAGCATTGCATTTCCAGACTTGGTTCCCTTGAGGGACTGTCTCCCCCAAGATTAAGACTCCTTTACACCTGAAAATGGTTGCTTTTCTTTGGAGACATGTGCTGAGGGCATTGCTGGTGGAAGATAGGAACCTGGGGCTAGAGGTCGAAGGAACTGTTTATGTAAGACACAGTCTAGGACAGGCAGGAACAGCACTGCTCTGAGCTCCAGATGGTGGTGTGTGACAGAGTCGGGGAGGCAGCCTCCTCTGCCCAGAATCTTTCATCAGCTACCACCCTGAGTGTCGGCTTTCAGAACCTCAGACCTGAAAACAGCATCCAGCACTTCTCTCTCTCTCTCTCTCTCTCTCTCTCTCTCTCTCTCTCTCTCCCCTCCAATCTCTGTGTTTTCTGGTGGTTTTAATAACTCCTACTACAAACAGGTATTTTCCACAAGACCAAAAAAAGGGTCCACTGGCATCTGTTTTCGCACTTCTCACTCAATTACTCAGAAACAAATCCTTCCTTGCTAGCTTTACCTGCAGCAATCCCAGTGAAACGGTTGCCTCTGATTGGATGACCTACTGCACCAGAGGGAGGTGTATTCTCGTTGACCTGATCTGAGCATGAGCCCAGGAATATACCTTTTATCATGGAGGAAGGGGTAAGAGCTGGACACTGATCTGGCCAAGGGTACTTGGCACTAAAGATAATAGTGAACACTTATGTCCTATGAACATCTAAGTAAGGTTTCTATTTCATCCCTGGGCATATATCAGCTTTGGGGCCCCATCTGTGTGGCCTTGTACTCTCAGGCAAGTCCTCAAAGAAAGAAAGAACAGACATGTCCAAAGGCTTGAATGCCAGCACTAAGAAGTACACAAAAATATTTGCAATTGAAAATTCTGAATGTATTATTGCTGATACTGGATCTTCCCTATCAGCCACTTTCCTTATTCTGCTGTTTCTCTTCACGTGACAAGGGCATCTGTGGCACAGATACAGGTAAGAGCATTACTATCTTGTCTGCCTTGAGTCTTGGCTTGAAAATAGACATTTAAGAGACAGAATTCAGAGACCAGCAGGTGGTATGGTGCTTAAAACACTGGACTCCCATATAGCCAACCACGGTTCAAGTCCTGGACCCAACAACTTGAAAATCGCACCAAGCATATGTGTATGTATATGTGAGCCCAAAATAGAACAGATTGTGGTATGGCCATCTCCCATGGGGGATAATTTGTCACTTTCCCTCTCTTTTGTCTCTCTGACAAGCACACATGTCCAATGGCAAAAACCTAAAAAAAAACGAGAGAGAGAATTCATCTCCAACAACATGAACTTGAACCACTTAATTCTACAAGTCTACAAAAATAGGTACCAAGACCTAGGATTTTTAAATGTGTTGATTAGCATGAGTACGATCAAGTTTAAACGGCCAGTATAGAGTCAGATCAACTTTTAGTAATTATCATTTCTTTTCAAACATATTAGGAAAAATTAATTTTAAAAAAGAGAGGAAAGCAGTTTGACTCTGTAACAGCAATGTGATTGCAGTCATTTAAAAAATTGCTTACCACAGAGTCCTAATTATCATTCAGGGCAATAACAATTATGCATTATGATTAAGTATGTGTCAGAATTACTTTTGCTAATTTTATGTGCTTGTGATACTTAGCTCTGAAATCTTGGTTGTCAAGATTTTATTTTCATGTTGCATAGTCATCTGCCTACAGTTGTAAAAAAAAAAAGAAAAGGAAAGAAAAAAACCTGAGGAAAGCAAGTACTGGTCACATCTAATTATGAGTCCCTCCATGTTTCTTTTTAACTTCTTCAACCTGACTGCAAACTTCTTCAGATGCTTTCCATTTGTGTTGAGATAATTCTAGGTTGAGAATGAATTACTATTTATAACATTTGACGAAGCAATGAAAACCATCTTTTACACTGGTGGTTCTTAAGCCTAGAAGACCCAACACGGTTTTTTTTCTTTTTTTGAGCAGTTTTTGCTATAGGGTGCGTGCGCTTGCCAGAAAGACAGAGAGAGACAGAGAGACAGAAAGTGAGAAATCACCCCCCCAGGGGGGATGGCCATGCCGCAATTCCTTCTCCTCTATTCTCCTTTCGGGATCTTGGGCATGCATGCACATACGCCCAGCATGAGTTTAAACCACTGGGTCTGGGACTTGAACCACAGTCGGCTACATGGGAGTTCAGTGACACAGCCTTTATGCTAC